GAGCGGGACTGTGGCTTTTTCTGGCCTTCCCAAGAATGGTGGCATCTTTTGCTCTTGCCTAATCAGCATCCATTTTCCTTTCTTTAGGTAAAAAAGAGCATGTCTATTTTCTTTTACGGAGAACTATCCGTGATCCCTACATGCTGCAGCCAAGCTAGGGAAAGCCTCGCTCCCTCTCCCTTGAGAATTGGAGGCTGGAAGAGAATTCCAAAAAACGGCTGGATTTGGTTCATCCTGACCAAGGAGTCCAGAAGAAAACCTTGGGTAGTTGCCGCTGCTTTGACCCAAGTCCGCCCTGCTTCAGACCCCTTAGGAGGCCTGGCTGCCGACCCTTCCTTCCCATTCTGTGAGCATCTCCGTATCTTTCCACAGACTTTCCCTAGTTTAATTTTTTTCTTTTTTGTTAAATTAGAGTTGATCACTGGTGCTTTGCAGATATAACCTTCCCACCTTGGATGAGGCATGCTGGGCTAAGAAGGTCTGCGTGCGGGACTGGGGACAAGTCAGAATATCATACAAAGTCAATGACAAAAGTGACAGCTGGGAACCGGAAGTGGGAAGTGTGGACGATTCGCCACCTGCAGCAACTGGAGTGTAAGAATGGAGACCCCAGCCCTCCAGAGAACACCATTTTGTTTCTCTCTTCCATCTTACAGGTTCGCAAAGTCGCAGGAGTGACTTTGCTAGAACATCGTAAGGAGAACCCAGAGTGTAAGAAGGGGTGTGTATACAGCACGGCCAGACGCTTCTAAGACAGACATGAAAGTCTCTTCGGAGAAGAAAAGGCCGAAAGGAAACACGTCAGCGTGGTACCATGCTGTCTCAGGGTGTGGGTTTGGCTGACATTTTTTCTCCTTGTGTTGTTTTGCTGTTTCTGGGTTTTCTACGATGAGCTGATGCGTGGAAAAAGAAAGGCGGTTTTATTTTTTGAAAAGATGCAATGGGAAAGGAATGAAACCACGTTTGCAAATTGTGTCTTCAGTGCCTCTGGTTTAGCACCACCGCTATGGCAGAGATAAAAAGGAATTTGCAAAGTGCAAAGTGAGTGCCAGAACACAGCATGATGTGACATGCTGCCGTCACACACCAAGCCGGGGGCTCAGCCCTGCTCTGAGCAGAGGTCAGGCATCTAGGCCTAGACAGAACACTTCTCAGGGAAGAGGCTGTAGTGGTGACAACACAGACTCTGCAGGATCCACAGAAACGCCTTGGGCCATGTTCAAACTCAGCAGCAAATGTCACCTTGGGGACTCTCTGGGGCGGGCTGGCCAGGAGGACACTGGCCCCGGTGACTTAGTCTCAAAGGCCTCCAGTGCAGACTCTGGTGTTCCCTCAGAGCAGGTTGTGTGGACAGCCACAGGGAGATACCAACAGAAGTTTTTCTTTAGACGTCTTTAAATTCTTGCCCATTAACGGACAAGAATACTCATGTACCTACATATCTCCACATAAATGTATACATACATTGCCCAACACACACGTACATTCATCTGTGTCATTTTATACAGACATTCGTGTGTGTATTAAATTGAAAGCAAGGAAGTCCTCATGTCAGAGGTGGTTAGTCTTGACATGGTGAAGATATGGGTGATTATGGTTTCTTCTCTGCTTTTTGCTGAATTACTCAGAATTAAAAAGACCTACGGAGTATAAGACATAACTTATTTGCACAAAAACTTCCTCTTTCCCATGAAAGATGTCGATAGGTTTATTACCCAGACATGCTGCTTCTGCTTCCTTCTCGGTTTCCCCCTTGGGTACAGTGACCAGGGGCTAAAGACAAATGAAATATACCCAACTAGTAAAAGGGACCAGACTGCATCTAATCACAGAGGTAGAAGCCATTTATCAAGGACTCTGTGCTGGGCACTTTTCCAGCACATTCTTTACCCGATGAGGAAGTTGCTACATGACTTTAACTCAGCACGACCCTTGGTTCGAGAACCTGCACTTTTAATCATCATGTGGTCCTTCCTCTCTGCTGTAAAGGTTCCCATCTTGCTGGGTAATTTATTATTATTTTTAAAGAAATTGTTTATTTTCTGTCAACCATTTCTATTTTCTGTTGAAGCGTCTGTGGATGAACCACTTAAGCCCACTCGGTGGCTGTTCCTGCCCATTCAGTGGCCCGAGCAGTAGGGGCTTCAGGTCAGTCTGCAGAGGTGGGAGGGTAGGAACTGCCGGACAGACGACCTTGGGTTGAGTAGCAGTAAATTTGGGAGCTGGAGCAGCCCATTTACCCCGGAATGCCCCCTTGGTCACAGCCTTTGGAACAGCGGCCTGCTCCCCCTTCTCAATCGCTCCAGGATCTCAGCAGAAGTAGAGATCAGGCAGGCCCTTCCATGGGGGTTCACGGGGGACTGTGCCACACGCATGTGGAGCTTCCTGGGCCGGCACCCATACCAGACCCGCTGAGTGAGCTCCCTTGTCACTGCGTGGACGGCGACGTCCACCTAGCTCGGAGGAGTGCACGTGACACGGGGCGATGGTAAGCGGGTTAACACAAGATGCCTCCGAGAGGGGCTGGTGGTCAGCTCTGGGGGTCAGTGACCACCGAAGTCTTGGCTCCCGGAAGGCTGCCTGGATCTGGTTAGTGAACGTCCCAGGAGCGGAGCGGCCAGCAACAGAAGTGGCTCTGGTGGCAGCGGCGAACCTCGGCACGGCTGGCCGGCCAGGACTCCTGGCGGCTACGACACTGACGCGGGCTCTCGGCGGCAGCGGTGGCTCGAGCTGCCCGCAGAGGCTTTCCTCGGTGCTCTTAGAGTCAGGGTGCAATGCTGTCGCCCCTCCTCTCGGAGACGACTGTTCCATTTGGAAGTCAGGATGGGTGCCACTGAGCTGGGTTCTTGCTGCAAGGAATTTGAGGACAGCCTCCAGCTTCGTCAAGGGCTGGCGCTGTGCCAGTCTCCCTTCACGTTCCGACGGGAACAGAACGGGCAGTGCAGAAAGGCTAGATCACTGAGTCTTGAAAAAGAACAGGGACGAAACCCAGAGAACGTCCCGGAGAGGGGCCTGGACGTTGGTCCATGAACCTCCCTCCCCTACGTAGCAGCTGTGAGGCTGGGTGGGTTACCTCGCCTCCTACACCTCCTCCCACTCCCCAACCATAAGATGGAGATGATGATACAGCATCTCTCTCAGGGTTACCGTGAAGACGCAGAGTTAATCCATGTGAAGCATCTGGAACAGAGTTAATCCATGTGCAAAATAAGGGCGTTACCAAAATGGGTTTAATTGTTAACTGGAAAAAAAAAAAAAAACCACCAAGGGGCTTTTGCTGCTCGGTGCCTAGCACATAGTAGGTACTCAGTATTTCTTGAATGAAGACGTGGGGAATTTGGTTTCCAGGAGGGTGGGAAACACCCTTGGACTGCAGATTCTGGAAGTGAGGAGGCAAACGGCTCGCAGGAGATCGGGTTCAGGGGGACGCTGCTCTGCAGTCCACTCCAGCCGGCTACAGGGGGGATGTCATAAAAACGGAGGCCTGGTTGCTCTCGCCTTGAAAAGGAGACGGGTTCCCAGTGATGACTTCATAGAAAGGACACAGTTAACCTTGATCTGGGGTTTATTTACTCCATAAACTGAGAAGTCCCGGCTGGCACTGGAGCCTTGCTTCTTGCCAGTCCCGACTACAGAGGGATTTTCTGAATGGTAATTAAAATGAAGCAGGCGCCTACCCCCTAGCACTTCTAATTGCTCTGGGCTTTGCAAAGACTTGCAGGGCTCACTCACAAAACCTTTGATTTCTTTTTTAGGGGTAGGTTAGAAGACACACCTAGGAAGCGAACACTAAGTGAAGTGAAGTCACAATGACTGGCCCCATAAGTAATATGTTATTTGGTCTAATAATATTTTTGATGGGCCTAGAGGTGTCGAATTGTGGTAATTTTGGATAAGGGTGGATTAACTTTGGTTCCGTTTTTATAAAGTGTCCTCAGGGGCAGGTCTGGAACATTCCAGCGACATTCCTCTGAAAGTGGCCTCATTTTGAGTAGTGGCCTGATTTCTGGAATCTGTGTCCCCTAGAAACCAGACATACCACTTACTCATTCAAGAAGTAGATTTTTCTGAGTATTGACTTGTTAACTTTTATATTAAATAATATATATGCTAATGGATGTAATCAAACTTTTGAAGAATGTATATCAACTCTTAACGGTATTGATTCTGGGAGGCGAGGTCTGGAGCGGTTAGATTTTTTGTAATATGCATGTACTACTTTAATAAGCAGGAAAAAAAACACACAGAGATAAATACAAGCAGAGTCACAGAGAATTTGTGGAAATCTTGGCCTCAGTGATTGGAGTTGATGCGGAAGAGGCTTCGGGGTGGGGGGTGGGGTTGTGATCCCTGAGCTCAGAGAAGCACAAGCCCCAGTTCTGGCTGGAGGGGCCAGCCCTGTAGGACAACCAGTCGGCACCTCGTCTCTGCTTCCTAGTGAAAGGAGAGCTTGATGACCCCTCCAAAGAGGCATGTTTGACCCCGCCTCACCACCCATTCCTACCTTAAATCTTGGCCATTGTCGTCGGAAGAGACGTCATCGACGTGGATCTGGTCACAGTCCTACGGAGCATTTGGCAAGAAGAGAAAGAGAGAGAGCAATGTGACTGGTTAAGCTGATGCCGCCTTTAAGAGCTGGTGTCATGAACTGAGGGGTGGAATGAACACTAGACTGGGAAGCAGAGACCTGAATTCTAGTCTGAGCTTCGCCATCAGCAGCCAGGTAATGGGCGAAGATACTTGGGTGAAGTATCTTCCCTTATAAATGAAACGGTTGGCTATAAGGAGGGGGCAGTGACCACATAATTTATCATGCAAATAGAGATAGTTTTGCAAGTAAAAGGGGTTGCTATTAATGTCACATTGGGAGGAGAGGCACAACATGGGACCAACCCCCTCTGCCCCCAGGAATGACAGGGATGCACTGTGAATAAGCCTTTGTCTCGTTCAAGGTTTTTCCTCTGCCTGGAAGGCTCTTCTACCTTTATCTGCTTAGTGAACCTTGTATTCTTCAAGCATTAGCTTCCGGACCTACCCTCTTCCCAAATTCCCCTCTGTGTCCCACAGTCTGGGATCATCATTTATTGAGCATTTCCTATGTGCCAGGCACCATTCCCAGGGCTGGCCATTTAATGAACTCCGATGACATGCTGCTTTCCACCATCCATTAAGTCCCTCAGTTCTCTTTGGTGAAACACCTTATCGAATGTGGGTTAAGACCACAGGGAGGGAGGGGGATGATGGAAGGTGGGCTCGACCAATCAGAGGGACTCAGCATCCCTCTGGTTAAAGTGATTGCTTCGGTGATGAGCTTGTGGTCTAAGCTGGACCAATGGGAACCAGGCCTGAGATTCTGGCTGGGGTTTCTGGGAAAGAGGCGTTATCCTTTCATGGGGGCTGCTGAGGGGTGGGATTAGGCCTGGAACTGCTGGACGAAGGGTGGTCTGGGAGCCGGAGAGAGGGCTGAGGCCCTGGTCACACTGATCCTCTGGATCTAGTCACGACTGAAACTAGGCCACCTTTGCTGTGGCTGGCTGACTAATGGCCTCCCAGTGATATCCACACCCTAATTTCAGGAACTTTATAGGGCAAAAGGGACTTCACAGATGGAGTAAGTTAAAGATTTTGTGGTGGGGGAGATTATTCCTGGATTCTCTAGGTGGGCCCTAAATAGAGTCACGAGGGTCCTCTAAGTAAGAGGCAGAGGGGTATTTGATGACAGAGGAGAAGGGGATTGGAGCCACGTGCTTTGAAGATGGAAGAAGAAACCGCAAGCCAAGAAATACAGGCGGAAGCCAGAAAGGCAGACAGCGCATTTCCCCTCAGACCCTCCAGAAGAAACCGGCCTCGCTGACACCTGCGGCCCAGTGAAACTGAGTCTGGACTTCTGGCCTGTGGAACTGTAAGAGAATACATTTGTGTTGTTTTAAGCGGCTGAGTGTGCGATAATTTGTTACAGCAGCCACAGGAAACTGATACCCGGACTTTTCGGTTTGAGCTAGTGGAGTTGGATTTCTGTCACTTTAGAGTTAAGAGCAGTGCAATGCTCCGCACGGAAGCTGCACACAGTGGACACCAATCCTGTCAACTCCCACTCCACCCAAAGCTACGTTCGGATGATACACGTTGACATGGCAAAAACTCTGACCGTGCTGGTTAGAGCTCAGGCTTCTGCATCTGACCGCCGGGGTTTGGATCCTGGATCCAACCACTTCCCAGCTGTGTGATCTTGAGCAAGCGGCATAACCACCTCTGAGCCTCAGAGGTCAGACTGGTAAATGGAGATAATGATGAAACCTGCTCCATGGGGCTGACATGAGGAAAGGTGAGACGCTACATTTAAAGCATTTCGTACAGTGTCTGGTACACAGAAGGTGCTACATAAATACTAGTTTTTATTATTGTGTTAACATTTATACCCACTCATATTTCGACTGCAAGGTAGTTTCAGGAGGCAGATATCTCTTGCAAAGACTGCTAGGGGGAGGAGAAGAACATGGAACTCTGAGCTTGACATCTGAGGAAAAAAGTGGTTGGGACATCCCAGGACCCTTGGTGAGAGGACAGAAGCTGGGGAAAGAAAAGACGTTTTCAACATTTTAAACAGATCTTTTTTTATACAGGAAACAGGCTGGATTTCATCTTTGAGAACAGGGGCTTTGCTGAGGGCGGTGATGGGACACCCCTTCCCTCATTCATTTTTTAATGATATCTAGAGGTAAGGTTGTCGTTATAGAGATGTGGGGGTAGAGTGTGTGTGGGGGACTGTGGCATTGGAGGCATCCTGGGTGGCTTTGTGGGGAGTGAGCCTGGAACGGCAGCTGGGGTGGGTGGCCAACGGTCTCTCTCTGGTCTCTGAATGGGCTTTGGATTGGAAAGGGGTTTGCTGGAAGGTGAGGTTTGTTTCTAGGGTCCTTGGTACACTCTGGCTCAGCTCCGTGACAGTGACAAAGTCTGACTGAGTCCAGGAGCTGCTGTTGTCCCTCTGCACAGGACCTGGCACATCTGTGGGTCTAGGACAATACATGGCGATGGGCAGTAGTGTGACCTGATTGGCCTGATAGCAAAAGCAGCAAGGAAGTCCCATCGAGTGGCTTCCTAGGTGTCAACCATAGGTAATGGGAGTTGGTGCAGATGGCAAAGAACAAGACGGACATGAAATGGTGCCTCCAGGTGAGAAAATTTAGAGAGTGCGGGGGACATGGAGTAACCACTCTTGAGCCAGCAGATACTTTGCTTACATCTACGTCTTTTCTGCTTCTTATTCCACATTTCCTTTCTTTCCACATACCCGGGATTCTAAATGATGCTTGGCAGTCTCAGGTATAACTTATCCGCCGCTCTCCAAGAGGGAATGTCCTTTCCTAAAGTAGCTGAGCTGGGTGGTGCGCCCCAACTGAAAAAATCTATAGTCACACTAACATTGTAGCAATTAGCCACATGTGGTTATCTACACTTATGTTTAAATTCATTAAAATTAAATACAATGAAACATTCAGTTCCTTAGTTCGATCTGAAGCGCTCAATAGTTACACGCAGCTACTGTTTGGATGGTGCATGTATTTCCATCATCAAAGAAAATTCTATTGGACAACTGCTGCTCTGGAGGGACAAAGGACATAGGCTGACAAATTCTCTGTTGGTAAGTTCAATTAGGGAGAAGATTGCAAGCTGCCTGGAGACATAGCTTATTTAGTCACGCTGTGCTTACAAAATTTTTTTTTAATACAAGAGCTAGTGTTTAAAACCAGGCGCTCTCCCCCACCTCGACACCGGATTTTCAGCTACATTGGGAATTTCCACTCCCTGGCAATGTGTGGCTTGCATGCTTATATCCTGACAATCAACTGCCTTGACATCTATTTCCAGTTCCCCGTAGTATCTACTAGGCTTTTTTTTCACTTTACATCACCAGGCCACTTGGCCCCTGTGGGCATCGGAGTTTGAGAGCTCTGATCCACGGCCATCTTACAGGGATGGAAGGATCCTAGTGACAGCACTCCCGATGTTAACGAAAACTATTTAAAAGCCAGCGTGCACTTTATGAAGCCAGGCACAGAGAAAACACAATTAATAGCAGATTTCTCCCTAATTCATTGCTTTGCCTGAAACTGGAAAAACACCTCCTTATGCCCCCAGGTCCTTCTCTCCAGCTCAAAAGCTGCTCTGGGGGGGGGGGGGGGGGTCACACAGGCTCAGGCTCCTGGGCAGGGTTCCTTGTTCTCCCTGATGTCACCAGAAAGGTATGTGGGGAGGTTCTGGTTTTCTCATTTGCAAAGGGATTGTTGGGGGCGCTAAAGTGTGACAACAGTAGCGATCACATTTCGGACTTAATAAAATACCATGACGCTCTGCGAGACACTACCTCATACCCCACCAGCTGACCCGGATTGAGTTACCTGCTGAGCCGGCAACAAGGGGAGTGGGACATGCGGAGGAGAGAGGATGGTCCCGAGCTCTTGGGGAACCGATCCTATGCCTTCCAACCCTGTGGCATCGTGGGGAAGGCATCTAAGGTGCAGGATGCTGGCTTTTCACAGCCCAGGGTGCTTCTGGCCTCCTGGGTTCAAGTGTGACTATCCTGGCAAAGTCCCCATGACCTTGACGCGCGTCAGGTGAAGTGGGGCTGAGGCTCGGTGCAATCCCGGCCTCAAGGAATTTACACTTTCCGACCTAGAGAGACGCCCGTAAAGAGCCTCGTGCGAGGACGTCCATCATTCCAATGAGATACTGGAAAACACCGAAAGTTCTCTTGATTGGATCGTAGCTAAATGAAATATGGTACATCCATTCAGTACAAGCCTACCCAGTAGTTCCGAAGAACAAGGTAGATTTTTATGTGAGCATGTGGAATTATTTCAAAGACATCCTATGGCGTGTAATAA